GTTACTCGAATGAGTTCCCTGACTGGAGGGAGATGTGAGCCTGTTCTCCTTATTTTGCCTTGGTGCCTTCCAAGGACTGTGCCCCACTGCCTGGCCTGCTTGCTCGCCCACCGGGCTCGTCAGGCCAGGGCTTCTGTCACTTTGTGACCTGGTTGACCTGCCTAGCTGTAGACCCTCGGGCCCCTTGAAGTGATAGCCACTGCTGGGCATCTCTGTTGAACCTCCTAGGTCCATCCAAGACCTGTCAGGAGGCTGTCCATTCCCTGAACCCCGTTCTGTGTCCGGGCTTGTGTGGGTTTCTGTACTTTCCCAAAACTCAGTTACTCCCTGATTTGGGCTAGAGGTGTTGTAGTCGGGACTTGGTTCCTCGACCACCTCCCTGTATGTTTGACCCCCTGTAGGATTTGGGGTAAGGTCAGGCCAACCTTGGGAATTGTGTGCCAGCTCTCTTGCGGGGAATGATTTGTTGGGATGCCCCCGGGTATCCTCCGTGACTGGAGTGCTGTGTGATGTGTGTGGAAAAGTATGCCCCCGGGGTGACTCCCTGGCTGGAGTAGGCGTGGATGCCTGGTAATTAGGTAGGCTCGTAGAATTCTTGTTCGGAGCTCTCGCGGAACCCTGGGATGGGCCGTTTGTAGCTCCATCAGTGGAGATGGGCAGCAGCTCATGCCCTTCCCTTTGCTCCAAAGGGTCCCCCTCCCCCCCTGGAAAAGACCCAGGAGTCTCATCTGAAAAGTCCCGCCGAGGGCGGAGTTGGTCGATGTGCCGACGCAGGACACGACCGTTGTCCAGGGCAACCTCGTAGGAGAGAGGACCTGTGACCCTGGAAATAGAAGCGGGGACCCATGTATGACCAGGCCCGTAATTGCGAGCCCAAACCGGGGCACCCACAAGTAGTTGTCTAGGTGCCCTAGGATGTGAGGTAGATGAAGGCAGTCTGTCCGGATGCAACCGGTCAAGTTTAGTAGTAAGTTGACGCCCCCAACGAAGTTCAGCTGGGCTTCTCCCTGTAGAAGTGGACGGTGTGGTGCGATAAGAAAGGAGAAAGTCAGCCAACCTGTGATGCCAGTCCCCGTAGGTGAGTCTTTTCAATGCGTCCTTTGTGATGCGCACCATACGTTCAGCCATACCGTTGGTGGACGGGTGGAAGGGTGCAGACGGTGGCATGACGAATCATGTTTGCCTGTAAGAAAGCTTGGAATTCGGAGGAAGTGAATTGAGGGCCGTTGTCGGACACAATGACATCTGGCAGCCCGTGTGCAGCAAAAATCCCCCTCAGTACCTGAATAGTCTTTGCAGTGGTGGTGGATGAGGCAGGTACAACCTCAAGCCATTTCGAATGGCTGTCAACAAGGACCAAGAAGAACTGGCCCTGAAAGGGCCCAGCGTAGTCAATGTGCACCCTAGACCATGGGGACTGCGTTTCCTCCCATCTATGCACGGGAGCTTGGGGCATCTCTGGGCGAGATCGTTGGCACAGGTGGCATGCATGCACCTTAGCCTCAATATCTTTATCTAAACCAGGCCACCACAAGTGGCTGCGCGCAAGGGCCTTCATACGAACAATGCCAGGATGACCCTCGTGGAGGGATTCTAAGACCCTAGTCCTCATTGAGGTGGGAATGACAACTCTGTTTCCCCAAAGCAGACAACCCTGAGAAAGGGACAACTCGTTCCTTTTGGACCAGAAACTCTGAAACTCAGGACTAGGGCAGTGCTCAGGCCAACCGGACAAAACCCAGGAATGGACACGTGAAAGTGTGTGATCTGTACCTGATTCAGCGGCAACATCCCTGGCACTAAGAGGGAGCTCGGGCAAGGCTTGGATTGATAGAATGTTGACAGCTGGCGCAGGGTCAGCGTCTACTACTGGCAGAGGCAATCTACTGAGGCCATCAGCATGGCCCATTTCTTTTCCAGGCTTGTGGAGTAAGGAAAAATCATATGCAGACAAAAAGATAGACCACCTAAGCATTCTAGGGGAAATGATTTGGGGAGTCTGCTTACGTGTGGTAAACAGTCCCAGCAGAGGCTTATGGTCAGTGAAGACCGTGAAGTGCCTGCCATATAGAAAGTCATGGAATTTTTTAATTCCAGCAACAACAGCCAGAGCCTCCCTGTCTATCTGAGCGTAGTTGCGCTCAGCAGAAGACAATGTTCTGGAGTAATATGCAACAGGAACCTGAGTTCCATCAGACCTGAGGTGGCTCAGGACAGCTCCAACCCCGTAAGGGGACGCATCACAAGCGATGCACACAGGAAGGGACTCGTTGAAATGTGCAAGTACACTGTTAGAAGTGAGCAAAGCCTTGACTTTGTTAAAACAACCCTCATGCGTTTGTGACCACTGCCACACTGCTTGCTTGTCTAGTAGCCTGTGAAGAGGCTCAGCTACACTAGCTTTTTGTGGAAGAAAAGAATTGTAGAAATTCAGGAGGCCCAGGAAGGCCTGAAGTTCGGCCTTGGACTTTGGCCTAGGTGCTTCTAAAATAGCAGTCAGTTTGGATTCAGCAGGGTGAATCCCAGCAGCATCAATTTTGAACCCCAGAAATTCAGTAGAAGGCACCCCAATCATGCATTTGTCTTTTTTGAGCTTGAGGCCTGATTTCCTGAATCTTAACAGAACAGCTCTTAGCCTTTCAGCTAGAATGTGGGTGGAGTCTCCGCAATTAAGACAATCCTCAAAGTAGGGGCAAACCCCCGGTATGTCACCGCAGTTGGTTTTCCATTACGCTTTGGAAGATGCCCAGGAAGCGACATTCACTCCAAACTGCCAGCCTTTTTACCTTAAAGGTCCCCTGTGGTGAGATGCAGATGAGTGGGCAGACGCCGGCTGGACATGGGTCCACAATAGTCGAGGCTTATAACAAGGGGGGGGGGGGCAGGCCCCTCAATCATCAAAACAGGCAGCTGTTGATATGCTTGAGCTAGGTCAAGCTTTGCAAAAACACGCCCCCCCTTGAGAGAGGCCAGGATGTGACTGACCACAGGAACAGGATAGGAATGTTGCTGCAATGCCTTATTGAGTGTGCATTTGTAATCAGCACAAATGCGAATGTCCCCATTTGCCTTTAGAGGCGTGACAATGGGGGTCTCCAACGGGCTGGAATCAACAGGTTCTAGGATTCCCTGTTGGATTAGTTTGTCTAATTCAGTGTCAATCTTACTTTTTAAAGCAAAAGGGACCCTTCTTCGCTTAATCTCTAATGGGAGTGGACAGTGGGGTCTAGCGTAAGGACAAAGGGGTCCTTTGAATTTTTCTTATGTTTTTTCATGTGCCCAAAGATGGGGGCTGAAAACATCTGCAAATTCTTTTGCAGACTTACTGTAGGTTCCTAGTGTTGTAAAACTGTTGAGTCCTGTGACGTGTATCCCCAGGGCCTCAAACCAATCGAGTCCTATGAGACTCGTTCGTTCACCCCCTACTACTAATAAGTCTAGTGGACCTTCAAAACTATTGTATTGCACGTTAAGGGTGGCCTCCCCCTTAACACACACTCTTGAATTTTGAAAATCTGTTAACACAATGTCAGAAGGCCTTAACTTGGCCTGAGTTCCACTACCGGAAAAAATCTTCCTAAATGTATGCAAGGAGATAATTGAAAAGGCAGACCCTGTGTCTAGTTCCATAGATAATGGAACCCCTTGTAGCTTCACCTTGAGTGACAGCTTTTTCTTAATGGGCTTGTGTGTGCCTGTCCTAAGGATGCTTCTTCGCGAAGCGCAAAACCCTACCCTATTCTGGCTGGGGACCCTGGTACCTTTCAGGCGCAGTTCTTCCTGAGGTTGTACCTTTCGTCGGCCCAGACACATAGCTGCAATGTGTCCTTGTTTTCCGCATGCCCGGCAGGTAGCGGAGCGGAACTTGCAGTCGGTTCTCCTGTGGCGACCTCCACAGCCGATGCACTTGAGCGGAGCTGAAGAGCTTCCCTTCTGTTTTTCTTCCTTCATGGGGTGGAGACGGTCGACTTCCTCGTCCGGATCCTCCTCGGAGTTTCTTTGGACGTCTTCCTGGTGCACGGATGCAACCTCTGGACTGTTTCTGATCGGCCGCATGTTCTTGACAGCACCGCCTGCTGCTTCTTCTGCGGTGACTTCCCTTAAGGCATCTTGGTAGGACAATTCTTCTTTAGCAAAAAGTCTCTGTTGTAGATCTCGATGCCTTAACCCGCACACGAATCGGTCCCTCAGTCGTTCTTCGAGGTCTTTGAACTCGCAGTGCTTGGCGGCCTTCCGTAATGCGGTGATGAATTCTTTTGCCGACTCACCGGGCCGTTGATCCCTCTGCTCGAAGGTGTGGTGCCATGCGATGACGGACATCTTGGGGTGGAAGTGCTCCTTCAGTAGCTTCTTCAGATCTGCGTAGCTTACAGACTCTACTGGAACAGGTGCTGCAAGGTTTTCTGCGATGTCGAAGGCGTCTTGGCCGCAAACACAAAGCAGGGTGGCAGCCTTCAAGCTCTCTTCCCTCACTTGGTTTGCCTTGAAGTAGTTCTTCACCCTGGCTACGTATGACTCCCACCGCTCTGGATGTGAGACGTCGAATTCCGAAAGCCTTCCGATTTTCGCCATCTTCAGGAGACGGGTCTATCAGCCAGCCTACCCTCGAATGCGCACTGGATTGGCGGGTAGCTGCCGAGTCGATGCCGTTCCGCCGCTCAGGACTCACTTGGGTAAGCTTACACTTCTTCCTTTCCAGGCGGTGTAAGGCGATCCCACCTTCGTCGCCAGTGTTGAGTCCGTGGCGGAAAGCAGACACGAGAAGCAGTTGAAGTTCTCAGTTTTCTTTATTCTGCGTTCAGCTTACAAGTAGATGGCTTCTGCAGCTCCCAAAACCTCCCAGCTTCTTATATAGACATTTCCCGGGTAAATGCGATACTTTTCCCGCGCCAGCACCCGCGCATGCGCACGGCGCTGGCGACAGCCTGTCTGGTCCCGGGCAGCTTTGCACCTGCCCAGGACTGCCTGCAAACGCCTGAGCCGTTTGCAAGGCTCGGGACATAACAGCAAGAAAGACTGTAAAATGGGGCAAATTTTACTTAACTGTCTCAGCAACATAAATGTTGGGCTCAGTTGTGGTCATAAGCTGAGAACTATCTGTATTTTTCACTTTCCATAGCCACTTTGTAGTTCATCACTGGGTGATGAAACCAAAGCCAGGCAAAGACATGCAGTAAATAGAGCTTCAGAGATGGATATGCCTTTACTTCTATGACTGGGAACAACTTTGCAAAGTGCAGCTAAGAGGAAATTCTCCCCAACTATTCCATGCTATGATAAAACCAACTTTAGCTTTGATGATCACAGATCAGGTCTTTTGGGGTTCTGATTCATAATGTTTTTCTGTGGTTATATAAAAGTCTTCAAGGGTAGACTGGAGGTATTCAAATGTTGGTCGTTCTTCTGGGTTGTCCTTCCAACATTTTAACATAATTGCATAGAGATTAGACGGACATAATTCTGGACAAGGTATCCGGTAGCCCTGTTCTAGATGTCTGATAACGTCATGATTCATCATAGCTATTGGGAAAAAAAGGAAAGATCAAACTATACACAAACCATATAATGCACAGATAGTTCTTAATTTACGATGGGACCAAAATTATATATTCTGAAATTCTGAACCAACTCAACTATTTCGAGTTCCTGGTAGCTTTATATCTTGCACAATGTATTTTCCAAAACTATTTAAAAGTAAGATTTTCTAAGCAGGAAGCATTACCATTTAAATGTGTTTGTGGTGATTATTACAGTTATTTATTAAGTTCTCCTATTCTTGTTTACCATTCAACTTTGCAAATGCATACAAATCCCACCTGTTTCATCAAAAAAAGCTGATGAGCCCCTTAAAAATAAAGACTAAGAACCTCATGAAATCAAATTCAAACACATTTGAATCTGAATTAGTAAATGAGCCATTTGAAGTGCATCTGAAGGCAATTGAAATATATATTTGAAGCCAGTGGCTAAGGCATCAAGCTAGAAAGCTGGAGACTATGAATTCTAGTCCCATCTTAGCCATGAAAGCCAGCTGGAGATCTTGGGTTAGTTACTCTCTCTCAGTCTAACTCACCTTACAGGATTGTTGTTATGGGGAAAATAGGAGGAGGAAGGTATATTGGTTATTTATTTATTTATTTAAATTTATTTGCCTCCATCTCGTATCAAAACAACTCTGGACAGATAAGTTTGCCCTGAGTCATCTATAAAAATAATAAAGGCGGGATACAAATAAATAAATAAAATAAATAAATATACAATGATGAAAAGCTGTCTAGTACTGGGCTGAACAATTAGCCTAACAATATCCCTTCTGAGCTTTTAGCCATAGCGGAGGAATCAGAGAGAAGCATTGGCTCAAAGCAGTGAAGGGTTTTTGATTGCAGCCTGCCTTACCTGGATAGGGAGTCTGCCCATACGTAATAATTTCAGTGAGAAGAATTCCAAAGGACCAGACATCAGATTTGATTGTGAAAAGTCCGTAGTTAATTGCTTCTGGTGCTGTCCATTTGATAGGAAATTTGGCACCTGCCATTAAAGAAGTCATTTAACATGAAAACCTCCCAGCATAATTTGGTTCTGAATATCTATTTTGAATTTCTTTCTTAAACTAGACAAGATATTCCAAAGTGTAGGAGTATGAACAAGAACATAAAGATGCCAGACCAGGAACTTTTGACCAGCTCACTGATACTGATTACTATTTGGGGATGTGAAGAAGTTCAGCACTGAAAGTGATCCTAAGTGGTTTATTTATTTATTTATTTGGCCAACTTAGTGCAGCCAATATATCAGAGCCAGTTCAGTGTATTGGTTAAGGAATCATGCTAGAAACCAGGAGAGCATGAATTCTAGTCCTGCCTTAGACACAAAGCCATCACTCTCTTTCAGAAGGACACAATGGTAAATCACTATATCAGATAAAATTCAGGAGTCAAGGTTGTGTTTTGAGCTTACCGTGCACTAGATTTTGCATATCTCAATTCTACCCAACATTACTTCTCAAGTAATATTTTAGGCCTGCAGGAAGGGAAGTGGGTACACTGTGTCAGATAAAGGAGGATATGTTCTCTTTTCAAAGCTCAACTATTTAAAATCCTATGCATAGGAGAACAGTTGGGTTAAGCAACATCTGATTTATGTGTTATTTCATACAGGATATTTGAATATTGCCTCTCATGTACTAGACATCTAAGCAGAATATAATAATGAAAGACCAGGCTAGGCTAGGTTAGGCTATAAAGGTGGAGGGATGGATAAATAGAACAGTTTGTCTTTCTGCCTCGATATCCATGCTGTTTCGATATTTTTGACTATAACAAACACTCAGACTATTTCAAAGCATTCACAGAGCTTCCAGTAATCTTTTGTCATAACAATTTGATAATTTTCCTCTCCTACAATCTTTCTGCCATTAACAAAGTTACTAAAAGTAATACACCTGAATACCTATTAATAGGACAAAAATGGGAAATTCTCTTAGGAGGCAAACTTTATATGGGATATCTACTTTCTAAGCTATATATTAATTTATAGGTAACAGCTGGCATTTTGACTTATACTCAGAAATAAATTAATAGCCAGTGCAGCTCCTAAAGTAACAACATTATGTGACATCACCATGATTGTCCAGTAAGTACACTGACAGCTCCATTTTGTACCAGCTGACTCTATGATTGAAACCAGACAGCATTCTTTTGTAGTCAGGTAATAAACCTTGTGCACAAAAAAGCAAATCTTTTACCTCCAGACTTTTCTTGTTCAGTGGAATATGACCCACAATTCTATCTCTTTTACCACAAAGATTCACTAACCTGCCTGTGCAAGGTATTCATTCTCTATGAGTCTAGCCAGGCCAAAATCAGCAACTTTGCAACAAAGGGACTCTGAGACCAGAATGTTGGCTGCTCTGAGGTCTCTGTGGATGAAGTTCATTCTCTCAATGTATGCCATCCCTTCAGCAATCTAGGAGAAATAGTCAACAGTGAACATGTCTGGTGGTGAAATAATCCAAAGGTTATCTTGCTCAATGGGAGAGGAGAGTTTCTGGGTTTGGTGAGGGATAAAGAGAGCCACATATTTCTATTTCTCTCAGTTTTTTTTAATTGCAAGTTGGTTCCATCATATTTCTGCATCAGCTTGCACATTTACAGTTTTGCAAGTCCTTTTCCTCTTTTTCATTACATTCACTAATGTGATTTTTTGAGTGCCATTGTCCTTAACAGATCCATTTGGGAAAAACACTTTAAAAAATGGAAAATTGAGTAATACTGTAGTGAATTCCAAAACAGAAAAGTGTTTTGGCTTTTGCTTGCGGCTTCTGGAAATGAAAATCCTAGTCATTTTTTGCTCTTGCTAAGCCAGGCACGTTATTGAAAATGACTTTCCTACTGTATTAGCAATTAAGATGCAATCCTAGATCTTCTGCCAGCAAACAAAGCTCTATAGCCCTGATGTTCTGCTCAACCCCACAGCTTTTTATTTTCTTCTAACTAAAAGGACACTACATTTTAAAAAATTCCATATAGATTTGTTGGGTTTTTTTCACACGGTTTCAAAAAGGATATGAAAATGTATTTTCCACAACTATGTCATATGCCTAAACTGATTTGCTTTTTGTTCAAATGCTGCTCACCTCAGTGGAAAAAGGAGCACCCAGAAGAGTGTTATTTCCTGTCCTGATGTCAATGTGATAAATATTGGTCTTGATTTCCTCTCAGTGTACTAGTGAGGCTGACCACAGTACCAAATGCACACTGATAGCCTTCTAATTTTAACTTTTGTGTAGAAATAAGGGGTCATCGCTTGGTGTGCCTGGGGCCTATTTACACAAACAACACTATTGCAATGACATTTGCTACTAGACTCTACTTCTGGTAGTCATCTATTGCTGGTATTGGCTGTGTTCATGATGCAGGTACTTTGTGAAACAATTTGAAGTAAATTGGCATTTCAATCAATATGTGTTTTATAGTTCATGGAAATAACTCAAAAAAGTATTTTGTGGGCTTCTACTGCATTCAGTCTTTACCACAACATTGTCAGGCATGTCAGGCTTTGAAACTGATCTCTCCATGACCATTTGGTGAATGTCATGATAGGGTAAAGAGACTCACCTTATTGAGGAGATGGGTGGCATGTAAATTTAATACATAAAATTGAGCCTGAATCTTCAAATATGATACAATAACCAGGAAACCTCTTTTGGGGGGCTCACAGTCATGTTCCCTCAGAGATTATCTGCTGGAATTTACATCTCAGTGGTGATCGGGAAACAAACCTCTCTGTGTCTCTTCTTATTATTTCTGTTGTTTCTTTTCTTTTTCTTTTGTCTCTCACAGATACACCTTCAATACATTTTTTTTCTTTGTCTTCCTCCACTACTCCTTCACATTCTTTCATTTTGACTCTCTTTGGCAACTCTTTCCATTTTTTTTTCTCTACCACCTAATTTATATGTCAATCACTTCTATTTTGGGTTACTCCCCATTTGCATCTAATCATACCAGAAACATCTCATGGCACCATCTTTGCTTTTTCATGTCCTCAAGATGTTGCAATCAACTTGTCTTCAGCTCTTCCATGAGACACCCTTAAGTTCTTCCTAATTGTATCAGTATTTTCTCCTTAAGCCAAAAGCAACTTGGGGTGGTTTCAATTTATTTCAAATCTGACATGCTTTGTTGCCCATCATGTTGACAATACAGGGGATCGATCTAGTATCTATTATCATTTCAGACCTGTGCTCACATGCTTCCTTCCCTTAAGTTCCTAAGCACTTTCCACTTCTGTCCCTTCCCCTTCCCTTCTTTCCTCTCTGTCTCCAGCCTTTATGCTTATCTGTGCTACCTTTCCCCCTCTCTTCTCTCTTTTGAAAAAAGCTAGATAGACAATGATTGGGGATTCTGATACTATATAATTTCTAGGTTGAGAAGATAATGAGACTTTGTACCACTAGGGCATTAAATAATTTACCTGAGCAGAGAAATCTATCAGTTTTGAAAGAGACAGCTTCTTCCCTTGATTGGTGTCCAAGAAATCAAGCAAGCTTCCTGTCCAAAAATAAAAACAGCAATAAAAATATAAGGACATTTTTGGTTGAAATAAATATTCATAAAGGTGGATGTGAGAATACTTTATTAGTTAAGTCAGTTTTCAGTTGGTATTTGGGTTCAGCTTTAGGCTTTGAATCTTGCCAAGGGGCGAGAATTATACCACTTAATTAGTGATTTTTTAAAAAATCAGATTTGAAATGATTTTGTAATGGTTGCATTACTATATTACTAGATTGGGAATTGACCTCTTAGAATACTTTTCAATTTGCTGATTCTTCAATAAAATTTTGTTTATATTTATGAATAGATTTACTATCAGTGTGGCCTGCCTATGGCACAGCCTTGGGTTTGGTAATCATATTGTCAACATTACTCAGTCCCTTCTTTGGGAAATGGCTAGAGAAGGGGAAAAAAGAGGGAAAAAAGTTGAAGGAGAAAGACTAGATGCTTCCCCTAAAATAGGTCGCTGTTAACAACAGAGTTCCTGCACTCAAAATGCTAACAAAGGTAAGGATGGAAAAATTACAGGCTTTGTGTTGTCTTTGGGCAATTTACTTTGATAGTTGCTTGTACTGTGAACCTTTCCCTATGAACAGGGAAAATAGACTACTCCAAATATTTGAGGCTCATTAAGCAAACCACAATGCTTGGGGAAAAAAAACCCCTACAATCAGGTTTGGCCTGCTTAGTTCAGATCTATAGCACCGATAGAGATCCATTAGAATGATTAACAAGACATCCTTACCATTGGCCATGTATTCTGTTACAATATAAATTGGCTGCTGGGTCACCACAGCATACAATCGAACCAACTTATTATGCTGAAGTCTTTTCATCAAGTTGGCCTCAGCCAAAAAGGCATCGGGGGCCATGCTGCCTTCTTTTAACATCTTGACTGCAACCTTCACATTGTTCTTGTAGTAACCTGCAAAGGGGGAGGGGGGATTAATGACTATTATATAAAACAGGTTTGTGGGCAAATGGTGGCTTTCAAACCTAAAATCAGCAGCCCCCAGAACACTCCAAATCTGCCCCACCACCTTTTGGGAGCAAACCACCGAATAAGAGTGTCAAAGTTTCCATAAAGTTTTCATAGGAAACAAAATAAAAACTGGGGAAAGGGAAGGGCTTTTTAAACCATGGGAAGATTTGAAAGTGGACAGGGAATCATAAATTCCCCCAAACAGGAGGAATTGTTGGGCATATTTTCCTCATTAAAAATCTTTCTTTTGAATTGTATGGCAAGATTTTGGAACTGAGGGTGTGATCATTTATTAGAACAGACTGCTTATTACTTTAGCATAGCTATATCTATTATGACTGGCTGTGGCTGATCAGAATTTTTCCCACCAACTGCTATCTGATTCTTTTTTCTTTAACTAAAAATACCACAGATTGAAACTAGACCCTTATTTTATTTGCTTGTTAGATTTATATTAAGAAATTCAGGATGATTTCTTTAAGAAACACAAGGCTGGCTCAGAACCATTGTATGAAATGAAGCAACATAAAAACAATGCAATAAACAAAGCAATTCAAGCAAAAATAGAACTAATCATCTTTGATACAACTATACCACTGTCTTCAAGCTTCAGTCTCAACTTATCTCAGTGTTGGGGGAAGATCCAATACTTTGGGGCCTTTTGGAAGGTTAAGAGGATGAGGCCTGCTGGATTTCAAGGGGAAGGTTTTATTAGGGCAGGGGCTGCTGTGGAAAAAGCATGCTTCCAAGTTCCCACTTGATGGCAACATTTTTTTTTTTTTTTTTTATTGAAATTTTTCAAAAGTTTTACAAATAAAAATCCACCCCCCCCTCCCCAACCACCCCACCCCCCCCCCGACTTCCCAGAACTGAATAGAGGATTATTTAACAAATATTTTAAAAATAACATTTGCAATTTATAAAATAATTAATAATAATAATAAAAATCACAGTAATAATATATATAATAATAATCTACATAACATAAACTTTAAAATGAATAATATATACTAAAAAAGAAAAAAAAAATAAAAAGAGAAGAGAGAGAGAGAAAGAAGAAAGAAGAAAGTAGACGAAGAATAAAGCATATATATATATAAAAAAAAAATATATATGAATAATAATACATAAAAAATGTATATATATAAAAAAAGAAAAAGAAGAAAGAAAGAAAGAAAAAACAATCATTACAAATTATAAAAAGGCTAAATAATATTTTCCCATATCCAAATTATGTTGTATAAAATTTATCCATTTTTCCCATACCGCAAAAAATTTTTCTTGAGATTGCTCCTTTAAGAAAGCCGAAATCTTTGACATTTCTGCCAAATACGAAACTTTATGAAACCATTCTTGTAAAGTAGGCAAAGATTCCTTCTTCCAATATTGTCCTATTAACAACCTAGCGGCTGTAATCAAATTTAACATCAATATAACCTCCTTAGCATCACAGTCAATAACAATACCTAGTAAAAATAATTGCGGAGTAAAGTTTACCCTCCTTTTAAAAATTCTTTGAATATTCCACCATATCTTAATCCAAAAAGCTTTTATATGCTTACACGTCCACCAAATATGGTAATAGGTAGCATCCAAATATCCACATCTCCAACATTTCGGCTGTAGATTAGGGTACATAATGGACATTTTCTTTGGGTCAAGGTGCCATCTATAAAACATCTTATAAAAATTCTCTCTTAAGTTTTGCGCTTGTGTGAATTTAACATTTCTTATCCAAATAAGTTCCCAAGTATCCATTGAAATCGTTTCACCAATCTTCTGTGCCCATTTAATCATACAATCTTTAACTAGTTCAAGTTCTGAATCTAATTCCACTAAAACCCCATAAACTCTCTTAATATGGGTTGGCCTTTGATCTCTTACTTGTTTTAAAAAAATTTCATCTTCTCTAAGACAGCCCATTTTACAATCCATCTTCCATCTATCCACTATTTGTCTATATTGGAACCATGAATAAGTTAAGTTTTCATGTGTTAACTCTTCCAAAGATTTTAACTGCCCGTCTTGGCCATCCCATCTTAATAACTGTACGTAAGAGACCTTGTCCATATTTACCCCTTTCCTTATACCTTCTATGGCATGCCGAGGTATAGCCCATAATGGTATTTTGAAGTCACTTTTATAATACTTTCTCCACACTCGTAGCAAAGAGTTTCTTATAATATGAGACTTAAAAACCCAATCCACTTTTTTATTAAATATTAAATAGGCATGCCATCCAAAAAATAGGTCCCAGCCTTCCAAATGAAGTATTTCTGTATTTGTTAAATTCACCCAGTCGCTAATCAATGTCAATACTACAGCATCATAATACAATTTCATATTTGGTACCTTGAGTCCACCTCTCTCACGAAAATCTTGCATTATTTTAAGTTTCACCCTTGGTTTTTTCCCTGCCCAAACAAATTTATTAATACCTTTTTGACATTCATCTAAATTACGTTCGTTCTTTAAGATAGGTAACATTTGGAACAAAAAAATAAACTTTGGCAGGACATTCATTTTAATAACTGCAATTCTGCCCATAAGGGATAACTGTAAATTATTCCAGTTTTTTAAATCCTTCTGTACCTCAATCCACAGCTTTTCATAATTATTTTTATACAATTTTACATTAGAAGCAGATAATGTAACCCCCAAATATTTTACCTTATCAACAATTTCAAAGTCTGTTAAGTTAACTAGAGCCTGTTTATCACCATTAGTCATGTTTTTAGCTAATATTTTGGTCTTATTATTATTAATTTTAAAGCCAGAAACACGTCAATATTGTTGAATCAATTGTAATAATTTCACCACCGAAGAAACAGGTTGAGACAAAGTAACAACCAAGTCATCTGCAAAGGCTCTTAATTTATATTCTTTTTTATTAATTTCTATTCCTTTTATTTCTTGAGACTCCCGAATTTTAATCAACAAAATTTCCAGTGTTAAAACACACAATAACGGAGACAACGGGCATCCCTGTCTTGTTCCTTTTTCTATTACAAAAGCCTCTGACAAACCCCCATTTACAATAATTTGAGCAGTCTGTTTTTGATATATATTGGATAATACTGGTAATATATTTTGTCCAAAATTCATCTCCTTGATTAAACACAGCATAAACTGCCAATTCACTTGATCAAAGGCTTTTTCAGCATCCAAAAATATCAGGCCTGCAGAGACTTGGTTATTCTTTTCTAAATACTCTAATAAATTAATAATTTGTCTGTTATTCTTCATATACCTTCCAGTTATAAAACCCGATTGATCCCTATGTATAAACTGCTGCAAGATCCCCATAAGCCTGTTAGCTAAAATTTTTGCAAAAATTTTGTAATCCACATTTAAAAGAGATATAGGCCTATAATTTTTAGGCAAAGTAAGATCTTGACTATCTTTTGGAATCAATGATATAAATGCATTACGCCAGGATGGTGTGGAGGGATTCTTAACACAGGAATTAGAATGTTTTTATTTAAATCAGTTTCACACAACG